GACGCCCCCAGAAAACTTTAAAGGAACCCCCGAGAGGCCCCAAGGAGGGGAACGACAGCCCCATTCCGTTTGGAAAGCATAACTTTTACATCTTCGCTGGTGTCGTAGTGGTGCCGAAGGAGATCGGGGATCTCCTGACCCGGGTCAATCCAGACCCGGGTCAGTCAGGCCTTGCAGAATCCTGCAGGATCCTGCAAGATCCCTGACCCAAACCCGTGTCAACGCGAAGGATCCTGCAGGATCCTGCAAGATCCTGCACCCAAGCCCGGGTCAATGCGACCCTGGCCCTGCCGGATCCTGCAAGATCGGGCCCTCTGGCTGACCCCCGTTTGCAGCGACCCCCGTCTCAAGGCTGCCGGAGGAGAGAATGTCAAGGTGAGACGGCCGGACCCTCACGGGGCAGCGGCCTGGGGCGGCAGGGCCGGCAGCGGGCAGCGGCCGCGGGGGCGGCGGGGGGCAGCGGCGCAGGGCGGGGCCGGCGGCGGCGCAGGGCGGGGCGGCGGCAGGGCGACGCCGCGCCCGGGAGGCGGGCGCCAAGACCGGCGCGCGGCGGCGCCAGCGGGGCCACGCCCCGAGCCGGGCGAGCGAGGAGCCATGCGGCAGGAAGCCAGCGGCGGGCGGCCGGAGCCGGAGAAGCCGCGGCGCGCGGGGGAGACCAGCAGGCCGGGTCGGCGGCAACCCCATGGGTAATCGGTAATCGGTAATCGGTCAGAGTCGACTCGCTGCTGGAACTTGGGGACCCCAAACGGGTCACTGAGAAGATTGGTGGGCGAACGGGTCCCACCCTCTGTGGGGTGGGACCCGTTCGAAGAGAGAGCCTGGCCGGGGATCTAGTCCGAGGGCGGCGCGCTGTCGCGCCCACTTCCTCTCCCTGGCGACCCCAGGGGGGAAGGGAGAAGGTGAAGGCCTCCTCTGAAGGGGCCCTGGGACACACAAATAAATACACACAGATAACAGGATTCCCCATATTTTCCCATACTTTCTGGGTTTTCGCCTTCCCCCCCACTTCCCATATTTTCCCATATTCTCTCGGAATCGACGATTAATTGTGTCTGTGTGTTTTTTCCCCTCCTGATCCTCCGAAGGCTCGGAAAGTCCCCAGGCCCGCTGAGAAGTCCTCTGAGCCTTCCCGGAAGGCGCAACACGGCAGAACACTCTCAGGAGGCCGGAGGCCTTCTGAGAAGCCCCGCCGCCTTCTGAGGAGGCCTTCTCCTCCTCGTGTCCCCCCCTCGCTCGCCGCGGACTGGAGAGAGAGGCGGGGCGGGGCGGAGCGAGGGGGAAACTCCGGAGGGTGAGAAGCCCCGAGATCGGCAGACCCGGAGCGGCGGCCGAAGGTCGGAGGAAACAACAACCGCGGCGGGCCGCAGGGGAGCGGAGGCCGAGCGGCCGGCGGAGAGAGGCGCGCACGCCGAGAGCGCCTGGACACCGCCCGAGGAGGGCGCCGCGGGCCGCGTGCGAGGCGGGGAGTCATCCATATCCACCGCCTGGGAACCGACGCCCTGGTGCCCCAGCGGGCGTGGGATAGGGATCACATATTTTGGACCCTGGGAACTCGAATATATCCACCCGTAGGCGCCGCCTGGCGTGCAGCAGGGGCCGACCGTCCCGGCATTCCTGTAGGCCTACCACGCAATGTTCTTAGAACCCAGACACGTTCTAAGAACAAAAACCATGGTTCTCCGAACGTCAACCCCGAGGTGTTGAACCCAGACGGGCTCCGCCAGGGATGCTCTGAGAACACTGCGTGGGAACCACGAGAGGTTCTGAGGACACTGTTCGGCAGGCCTATGTGGGCGAGCCAAAACGCTCCGCCACCGCTTGAGCTGCCGGGGTCCCCGAAGACGGCTCCTCCGGGCGGTGGCCGTCTAGACATTCCCGCCTCGGGCCGCGGGGCCCCACAGCACGGCCCCCGAGAGGAGCCGCCCCGGGGCACCGAGCGGCGCCGAGGGCCCCGCGGAGCGAGCGCGGCGCGCCCGCGGGGGCCTGGCCACTCGGGGCGAAGGCCGCGGGAGGAGCCAACGAGGAGGAGGAGGACGACGACGAAGGAGGAGGAGGAGGAGGAGGAGGACGACGACGACGAGGACGAGGCGGAGGAGGAGGAGGAGGAGGAGGAGGAAGAGGACGAGGAGGAGGAGGAGCCGACGCAGCGCCGCGCAGGAGCCCGGAGCAGAGCCAGGGCGGGGGACCGAGAGCGAGCGGCCCAGCGGGACCGACACAGCGACACGGGGCTCGACACCGCAGAGGGGCTCCCGGCGGATCGCACAGGGACCGTGTCGTCATCCTCCTCCTCCTCTTTATCCTCCTCCTCCTCCTCTTCGTCTTCCTCCTCCTCCTCCTCCTCCTCCTCCTCCTCCTCCTCTCCTCCTCGGCAGCCTCCTCCCAGCCTCTCTCCTCCTCCTCCTTCCTCCTCCTCCTCTCCTCCTCCCCTCTCCTCCTCCTCCTCCTCCTTCCTCGCCGTCGCTAGAGTGAGGGTGACAGCGGCGCCACGCCGCCCAGCAGTCCAGCAGGCACAGGGCGAGCAGGGGGGCGGGCACGGCAGAACTATGTAAGCAAGGCAGGCGACGCGGGATCGACACTGAGGTGCTCCTGGCGGATCTTCCAGTCGGCAGCGAGCGAGGGGGGGAAGTGAGAAGGAGAAGGCCTTCTCAGAAGGCGGCGGGACTTCTCAGAAGCCCTCGCGCCTCCTGAGAAATTGCTTCTGCCTTCGGGGGAGGGGCTTAGAACACCTTCTCGGAAGGCCAGACGACTTCCGAACCTTCTGAGAAGGCCTTCTCCTTCTCGCTTCCCCCCCTCGCTCGCCGCCGATCCAAGCGCCGAGGCAACGTGACCGCGGGAAGCTACGGCCGCTCCGCAAGCAAGGGCGAGGCGAGGCGAGGCGAGAATGAGCAGCCGAGGGCGACGGCCACACCGGGGTGAGGCGGCAGGCAGGGGGGCGGAAGGGGCGGGCACTGGCCTCTCCCCCCCTCCCCACCACGACACACACACACACAAACAAACGAACAAACGAGCAAACAAACGAACTAACAAACAACGAAACAAACACATAAACAAGCAAGCAAACAAACAAACAAACAAGCAAACAAATACACAACAAGCAAACAACCAACCAAACAAACAAACAAACAAACAGACAGGCAGACACACAGACAGACACACATGCAGACAAACGAACACACATACACAACACAGCACACAAACACACATACAAGAGCACAACCGAGCAACAACCAACACAAAACAAATAACACTGCCCCATCCTTCACATACTGTTGCCCTCCCAAGCGGCCCCTGAGCCTCCAAGATCGCCCCAGAAGAAAAAAAAAAAAAAAAAAAAAAAAAAAAAAACGTTCGCCCGCAGGCCACCGAGACACCAGCCACGACCCCAGCGACACCACAAGAAGCCACAGGAGCCACATGCCACCCAAAGGTGTCGGCGCTGTGGCGCAAGCCCAGGACTGGCCATCGCTCGGACATCCATTTCCTGTTTTTTTTCGGTTTCGTGCGTGGTTCTTTCGCCAAATGATCGAGGATGCTCCTCGATGGTCCTCGCCGAAGCCGAAGGAAAAATGCACACGTCCGAGCGATGCCAAGCAGGAATCCTGCGATCGAGGACCGCCAGAAATTCCAAAGGGAAACCCCTCGCCGAGGCCACACTTCGCAGCGTGCCGTGCCCCAGGGCTCTGCGGCCCCCGCGGGAGCCGCGGCAGAAGCGTGGAGCACCCGCTGGCAGGGCCGAGGCGTCGCTCCTCCTCGACGACCTGCGCCTCGATAGGTGGTGGTGGGGGGGGGCGGGCAATACTTATATCCATATCCAGAGCGTCTTGGACTTGATTGGAAGGGGTGCCGCAAGGCCGAGGCGCACTGGATATGGATAAAAATCGAGCCTTTCGGGGGCAATATTTTTGTCCGTATCCAGTTCGCCTCCGGTCTCCGGGGGAGAGAGCCCAGAACTCCACGACGCACTGGATGTGAACATAACTATTGCCCGCAGGGGGGGGGCAGCACTCCGAGGCGCCTGGCGTGCGCTGCGCAACTGCCCACGAGGATCTGGACCGAGCCGTCGGGGGGTCGAGCGATGGCGGAAACCGCTTCGGACACGGGGGGGGGGCACCGCCCCCACGCACTCCGCGCGGCGCAGAGCTTTGGCATCGACTGCTTGGCCCACGTCGGCTGCGCATGTGCGCGGGTTGTGCAAGAGGCCGCCAGGACATGCCACGACGACCCAGGAGACCCCAAGAGCCCTCAGAAGTGTTCCAGACCTCCGCAGGCCGCAGCAAAGCCAGCAGCACCAAGCCGCGGCTGGCACCCGGAAGGACGACGGATGATGGGCCCACCGATCATACCATATCCAACCAGCAAGCAGCAACACCCGACCTGAGCAATCACGATCATCTGCAACGGAACGCGAGGGTAGATAAACAACTCCCCCATCGTCTTCCCCTTCCTCCTCCTCCTCCTCCTTCTCCTCCTCCTCCTCCTCCTCCTCCACTTCCGCCCTCGGACAATGACGGTATGAACCGCGGCTCCACGAAGACACCCCGGATGAAGAGGGCAACGGTGAGCGACTGGAAGAACACCTGCTGTGCCACGCGTCGGGGCCGGGCCCTCCCTCCTCTGCTCCGGCTCCATGGGAGGATGAGGAGAAAGCGGAGGAGGAAGAGGAGGAGGCAGGAGGGATGAGTGGAAGACTGGTGCGCGATGGGGCGAGGAGTATGGGGCGGAGGGGAGAGTGATATGCAGGCGGGGAGCGCGAGTGCAGTGCGTGCGGTGCAGGCTCTGCTGCCTGAGCTGTGGTGTGCGCTGTGGTGTGCAGGCCGTGCGGCGCAGGCTATACGACGTGCGCTGCCCGGCAAACCGCCGCGGCGTGTGGTGTGCGCTGCGCGGCCGCCCAGCGCCCGAGGCGCCCCCGAGGCGCCCCCGGGCCGGCACCGGGCGAGGCCTCGGCACGCCCGCCCAGCGCCAGAGGCGCCCACGAGGCGCCCACGGGCGGGGCGCCGGGCCAGACCTCGGCACGCCCACCGAGCACCCAGACGCGTTGGACGCCCGGAAGGGGTACGGAAAGAATGGGTACGGTGCCCAACAACAAAGGTTGTCCCAAACCAACAGCGGCCGCTGTTGGGCAGGCGGCCTTCTGTCCCGAATGGACACCGGCCGCGGCGGCGCGGGCAGCGAATCCTGTGCAAGATGAGCAGGAAGTGCTGTTGGGCATTGTGCCCATTCTTTCCGTACCCATTTCGGGCGTCCAGAAACGCGCGGCGTCCACACGGCGCCCAACGGTGGCCCACCAACCGGGCACGGGCCGAACAAACCAGGCAGGCCCAGCCAGTTACCATGGGTGGCCTGAGCGAGAGTCCCTAAGACTTAGGGCCTAACTGCAAGCACTGCTTCGGGAAAAACTGCGCGTAAAAATGACATCTCGAAGAACCTCGTGCTGGCCCTCTCTGGCGGCGCCTCCAGCGCCGCTTCGCGCGCCAAGCCGGGTCCAGCGCCGATCCAAAAAATCCGAGCGGATCTCCACAGTGTATCTGAGCGTTTTCTTATTCGGCGTTTCGACACTGGGCAGAAGGGGGGGGGGAGGGGGGGTCTGTCTCCAACCTCTGCTGGACGCGACTGTTTGCAACAATTCATCCTGTGGGGGAGGCTCCGCCTGCGTGAAACAGGCGCCAAAAACAGCCAAGATCTACTCCATGGGGGGGGAGAGTGGGGGGGTGCGAGGGCCAGCGCCGATCGGCAAAACAATCAATAAGACAACGATCACTCTGTCAATACTGTTTCCTCGTCCTCGGTTCGAGAGGAAGACGATGAGAGCATGAGGGTGAGAGTCAACGAGGGAGGCCCAGGTCGGCATGCGCCAGTGGGAGGGGAGGGGCCCGCACTGGTAGGTGTACAGTGGCAAGGGTCACGGGGCCGAGGGAGGCCCAGTCAGAGAGCGCCGTGAGGGGAGGAAGAAGTCTACGGAGAGGTCGTGGACTCCACTGGAGTCCCCAGGGGTCTTCCAGTCTGGGACTCCGATGGGCATCTGGAGAGTCACTTCAGACGCCCAACGGAGTCCCAGTCAGGGACAAAAACGGTCCAACAACCTATCCTCTTACCCCCCTTCCTCGAGAGGGCAGGAGGAGAAGGAGAAGCAGGAGGCGGAGGAGGAGCGAGCGTCCCCAGAGGAGTCCCCGTGTCGGCAACGCCTCGCGATTGCATGGAAACGAGCAGCGGCAATTTAACGAGAGGGGGAATGCCGATTTGTTTTTCGATGGCATGGCATCCACCACCGTGCCTCCAGCATGTAATGGAGCGCCCGAGGCCTTTATATAAAGAAATCCGACGTGTTTCAAAAAGTAGCGACAAACGGGTTTGGGCAACACTCGGACTCTAGGGGCCCTCACCAGGCCAAGGGACCATCAAGCAGCTACTCGTGATGAGAACCCGGTCCTGGGGAAGGGGTCGAGACCTCCAGGGGCGCAGGCTCTGAACATCAACACGAGGTCGAAGTTCCAGGTCTCTCCCACCCATTTCCCTCCTCCTCCTCCTCCTCCCTCCTCCTCCGCCTTCCTCTTCCTCCTTCTCCCTCCTCCTCCTCCTCATCCTCCTCCTCCTCCTCCGCCTTCTCCTCCTCCTTTTCCTCTTCCTCCTCCTCCTCCTCCCTCCCTCTTCTTTGCCGAGCTCCGAGGCGGTCCACCGCCTGTCCTCCCTCCCTCCTCCTCCACCTCCTCCTCCTCCTCCTCTTCCTCCTCCTCCTCCTCCGCCTCCGCCTCCTCCTCCTCCTCCTCCGCCTCCTCCTCCTCCTCCTTTTCCCTTGCTCCCCAAAATGTTTCCCTGAAGATTCCCATCACGGCTAGGGTAACGTATACGTAATCATAGATCCTCGCCAGCCTTTGGTCCAACGGTTGGCCAGATGGGCGCTTCCAGGAGGCTGGGGGCGGCTGTGGTTCGCCGTAGGCGTCTTCGATATGCAGAAGGAGCAAATGAACTGGATAGGAGGAGAAGAAGGAGGATGAGGAGGAGGAGAAAGGAGGAGGAGGAGAAGGAGGGAGGAGGAGGAGGAGAAGGAGGAGGGCGAGGAGGAGGAGGAGAAGCATGATGATGATGATGAGGAGGAGGAGGGAGTAGGAGGAGGAGGAGGAGGAGGAGTGCTCGGACCAGAGGGAGGCAGCGGGCGCAGCACTGCCTTGATGTCCTCCTTCAGCTCGACGTCTTGCCGGTTCCACCAGCTAAGGGCCACTCTCTGTTTCTCTCTCTCCCTCTCTCTCTCTCTCCTTCTCTATCGCTCTTTCTCCCTGTCCCCCCTTCGCCGTCTTTCTTCCTTTTCTATCTCTCTCTTTAACTCAGTGCCTCCCTCTCTCTCTCCCTGTCTTTGTTTCTTTCTCTCTCTCTCTCTCGTTGTGTTTGTTGTCATCTCTCTCTCTCTCGTTCTCTCTTTCCCTCCCTCCATGCCTCAACCCCCATTCCTCCGTCTTTCTCTCTCCCTGTTTGTTTATCCCTGTCTCTCTCTCTCTCTGTTCATATTTTCCTGTCTCTCCATCTGTCTCTCTGACTATATATATATATATATATGCATACGTTACATATATGTTAGCCGGCGTGGTCCCCTAACACAGTGCGTTTCTAACAGTACATGTTGTGCAAGCTATGTGGAACGATACAGGTACTGCAACATAGGTTATGCAGTATATGCTGTGCAACCTCAGTTGTGCAGTAAGAGTGGTGCGATCTGCGGGGTACACTATCTAGCGTGCAATTGTTGCCGAGCGATTTACGTGTTGCAATCCAGGTCGTATCATCTACGTTGTACAACATATGATGTACAATGTAAAGTGTGCATTCGAAATGGTGCGACCTTATAGTGGTGCACTGGGCGTGAATCAACCAAGGTGGTGCAATACAGGTTGCGCAATACAGGTTCTGTATCACCTGTTGTACAATCTAGAACGTGCAACATCTGCGGTGCACTGCATGGTGTGCAAATTATGTGGAGCAATGTAGGTGGTGCATATCTAGATGGTGGTATCTATGGTGGGCAATCACTGTGGCGTGATCTACAAGATACAAGTTCGGTTGTGCAATGCAGGTGGATCAACACACGTGGCGCAGGGTAGGTGGTGCTATCGAGGCTGTGCAATCTATGGTGGGCTGTATATAATCCATGCGGTGCTATTTGTGTGGTCCAACCCATGGTTTCCAACCGGTGCGGTACACGATTTGTTGTGCGATCAATGTGTCGCGCAATCTACGTGGTACAATCGATGTGGCACAATATGTGTGGAATTGATGTTTCTATGTGAGTTGGCAAATTGGCAAATTCCACGCCCATGCAAACATCCCACCGACCCACTCGCATCTTGGGTTGAAAAACCTATGCGGCGGCGATTGCGGTGAGTGTTTGGCGTTGGCTGGTGCATCTCTGCGGGCGCGCTAAACCGCGCATGGTCGCGCGCAAAATGGCGAAGTAGTTTGGTGCGACCGGCGCGGCCGCAGTGGCTGGGCACTTCCCAGCGGGCACTTCAATGCGAGTCGGGGACTTGGGCGGGAGCGGTACCATGGCGACGCCGACAAAGGTAGACACGATCATGAGAGTAGCGACGATGGTGACGAGAGTGGCGGTGACGACGGTAAGGCCAATGACGGCGCCGATGTTCATCACGCCCGCCGATAACGATGACGATGTCTTCGCGTCGGCTATGCAGGTGATTGAGGGAATTCGACATGCGCGCGCGGACGACGCGCGCGAGTGGCCCACATGGTGTTATTTGACACGGAACGTGCCTCCCCCCACCCGCACGCGCGCAAGGGCGTTCGAATGAGTTCGACATGCGACGCGAGAGGCCACTTTGGCATTGATTTGATGAACGTGTTGAACACCCATGGTTCCCAAGAATCAGCAAAACTGCGTGCGCAAGATGTGTTTGACAACTGGTGATGCAAAACCATGTGGGGTGCTATGTTTTCGGGGTATTCGTTTTTGACACCCCTGCGGAGCCTGAGGTTTTTCTAGAATTCTGGCATGCGCGCGCGACGGCGCGCGCGCGTGCACTTCGTCCCGTTCTTGTGCAGACAGGGTTCCTGCGACAGCTCGCGCGCAAGGGCGTTCGAACGATTTCGACATGCGCGCACGAGAAGCCTGTTGGGTAGCATGTCCTGAAAATGTTGGGCAACGTGTGGTTTCTTGGGAATTCGCAAGAACGCGGGCGCAACCTTTCTCTGGAAACAACCAGCGTTGCGAATCCATGCGTTTCACCTTCATGTTTAATAGAATTATTGTTTTCTTCCCACTCGCGGCGCACCCGCGTCCCCATTACACACTCACCTCCCTTCTTCCTCCCTCCTCACCTCCTCTTCCTCTCTCGCCTCGTCTACGCGCAACACGTGCACGGCACGCACATGAGGCACGCGTCTGCATGAAACCGCACGCATGCACACACTCGCACACACACACACACACACACACACACACGCACACACGAATAACACCAGTGTGCGCCTGGCGTGTTCACTACATCACACATCCACGACGTATGCGTCACATACTGGGAACCGCAGGCTCGCAAGACACGGCTCGCAACGCACGGCAAGCGTGGCACTTTCTGGACACCGCAAGGGGGAGCGCTGGGGGGGGGCGGTTTCTGTGCGTTGCAACCTCTCAGGGCGCAGCGGGCGTGGCAATTTATCGACGTTGCAAGAGGGTGTCATAGGAGGTGCGGTCGCTGTCCGTTTCGGGCTCGCAAAGCATGGCTGGCACGGCACTTTCTCGACGCCACAGAGGGCGCAAGGGGTGCGGTCACTATCCCTTTTGGGCTCGCAAAATGTGGGGGCGTGGCACTTCCTCGATGCCGCAAGGGGGTGCGCTGAGGGTGCAGTCGCTATCCGTTTCGGGCTCGCAAAGCATTGCTGGCGCTGCACCTTGTTGACGCCACAAGGGGTGCCTTAAGGATTGCGGTCGCTATCCGTTCCGGGCTCGCAAAGTGTGGCAGAGGTGGCAACTTATCGACGTTGCAAAGGGTGTCGGGGGTTCAGTCGCTATGCGATTCGGGGTGGGACAGCGTGGCAAAGGCGACACTTCTCGATGCCACAAAGGGGGTGCGCTGGGGGTGCGGTCGCTTTCCGTTTCGGGCTCGCAAAGTGTGGCAAGTGGATGCCATAAGGGGGTGCGGTCGCTATCCGTTTCGGGCTCGCCAGGTGTGGCAAATGTGGCCGTTTATCGACGTGACGGGGGGGTCCTCGGGGTGCAGTCGCTATCCGTTTCGGGCTCGCAAAGCATGGCTGGCGCGGCGCTTTGTTGACGCCACAAGGGGTGCCGTCGCTATCCGTTTCGGGCTCGCAAAGTGTGGCAGGCGTGGCAACTTATCGACGTTGCAATGGGTGTCACGGGGGTGCGGTCGCTATCTATTTCGGGGTTGAACAGCGTGGCAAGGGCGACACTTTTCCGATGTCACAAAAAGGGTGTGCTGGGGGTGTGGTCGCTTTCCGTTTCGGGCGCGCAAGTCGTGGCAGGCGTGGCACTTTCTCGACGCCATGAAGCATGAGGGGGTGCGCTGGGGGTGCGGTCGGTATCCATTTCGGGCTCGCAAGGTGCGGCATGCGCGGGGTGGGAGTTCATCGACTTTACAAGGGGGGCATCGGGGTGCGGTCGCCATCCGTTTCAGGCGTGCAAAACATGGCTGGCGCGGCATTTGTTCCACTCCACAGGAGGGTGCGCCGGGGGCGCGGTCGCTATCCGCTGCGTGCTCGCAAAGCATGGCTGGCGCGGCATTTTCATGACGTCGCCAGGGGTGCCTTGGGGGTGCGGTCGCTATCCGATTCGGGCTCGCAAAGTGTGGCAGGCGTGGCACATCCTCGATGCCACAAAGGGGTGCGCTGGGGGTGCGGTCGGTGTCCGGTTCGGGTTCGCAAAGCGTGGCAGGCGTGGCACTTCCTCGACACCGCAAGTGGCGCGCAAGGAGTGGTCTCTCACCGCGGTTTCTACACGTCCCAGTCGTCCAGGCACAGCAGGCGTAGCGCTTTCTCGACACCATAGGGGTGCGCAGGGGGTGGTCTCTCACCGCGGTGTCTACAAGCCCTCATCGTCCATGCACAGCAGGCGTGGCATTTTCTGGACACCATGAGGGATGCTCAGGCTCACTGCGAGGTCTATACGCCGCCGTCGTCCATGCACAGCAGGCGTGGCACTTTCTGGACACCCTCAGGGATGCGCAGGGGGGGGTCCCTCACCGCGGCGTGCGCCGTCCGCCTGCCTACCTACAGCCCTGCTCTTTTCCGTGGTCACCATGGCTCACGCTGTTGTTCGCACGGCGCGTCAGTCTCCCAAGGCTTGACCGGCGTCACCAACGGTATCGGCGGGGCAACGGCCACCAAAATCATTGTCGCATGCTCCACTTCAGCTATCATCTCTTCAGACATGATATAAATATGTGGGGTTCCTCGGTAGCGTAATTCTATGTGCTCGTGACTCTCAGTCTTGAAATCCTTACTTCACCTGGATGTTTGAAGGAATTCGGCATGCGCGCCCGACGGCGCGCGCGTGTGCACTTCGTCCCGTTTGTTTGCCCGGGAATTGCTGAAAACTGATCTTTTGGTATAACCGAATGCGCGCGCATAATATGTTTCTTGTTCAGAGGATGGAGGGGGCGATACCAGCCTGCTTTGGATGATACGTATTCATTATGAAGATGGACTGTGGGGCAGGATCGCATGTAAATTGCGATGCGAAAAGGTGGACCATTAAGTCCGGGGAGGAGGTAGATCCGAATTCTTTTTAGAAAGAAGAGTCTATGGTGTGCAATTAATTTCTGTTCGCAGTGAATTGTCCACTCCACTGCTCGCGCAAACATCCCACCCACCCACCCGCAACTTGGTTTGCAAAATCTCTTAAGACCGTGACGGTGGGTACTGAATGTATTTGAGAATGACAGCGACGCTGACGACGACAGCGACAATGATGATGACGACGACGCCGCCGACAGCGACTACAACGACACCGACGACGTCTCCAACGACTTCGACGACGCCGACAACGACGACCACGACGACGACACTGACGACGGCGACGTCGCCGACGCCGACGATGACGACGACGATGACAACGACGACGACGATGACGACGCCGACGACACAGACGACGACGACGACGACGACGTCAACGACGCCGACGACGACGACGACGACGACGGCGGCGGCGACGACGACAACGACGCCGACGTCGACGACGACGAAGACG